ATCTCTGCAAGGGCTACAAGCCAGTAAAAGATACAATGTCATATGTAAATATTATAAAGTGCAAAGAAGATTTGCAGGGAGAGTGTCTTAGCGAGGGTAGCGAAAAGCTTCAGGTCCACGTGTAATAAAGTGATAGGGCAGTAACTACTGCAAGATGAGGGATCTTTTCCCTCTTTGGGGATGACCCCAATGGGGGCCCACAGTGCATCGGGGGGGGGGGGGGGAGCAATTTTATGGTCCAAGGTGTTAAATACTTGCACCATGTGTGAGCCCAGCAGGGGTAGAAAAAGCTGGTAGTACTTGAGTATAAAGCTGTTAGGGCCCGTTACTTTACCTGTCTTTGACAAGCCAATGGCTAATTGCAGTTCAAGAGTAATTGGTGCCTCCAAATCCGTGCATATTGAGGCGGACAACTGGGGGAGACCTTAGGAGGAGATATATTCCTCAATAGTACGTCGAGCTTCAGATTTGTTGTACAAGTTTTGATAAAACTCGCAGAAGGTGTCTGTGATTTGAGGGGGAAGATGTATCTTTTCACCGTCATGGCCTGTAAGATGGGGACTATAAAATAAGGTGCATTGCTGGCTAGCAGTTAGCCACATTAATCTCCTAATTCATAGTAATGTTTCCTGCAAGATTGTAGTGCCACCTTAGCCTAGTATTGGAGGTGACTCGTCTGCATAGGCTCTTTTTCCACCTGTGTGGTGGGGAGTTGTTTGTGGCGGGTCTCTAACTGATATATGTCCGCAAGTAATTTAGATAGTACGGCCTTTTTGTCTCGTTTAAGTCTCAAGCCATGTTTGATAGGAACCATTCTGATTACCGTTTTATGTGCTTCCCAGACTCTCCCAGGGTCACTATCTGGGGTGGAATTCATTTGAAAGCAGAGCTGAATCTGCTTTGTTACATCCTCCACTACTGTCTTATTCTGTAGAAGACCCTGATTGAGTCTCCAGTGCCAGGTTTTGGGGGAAGTATATTCTGTCAAAGCAAATTTCAATGTGACCGGGGCATGGTCAGACCACATGATGTTCCCTATCTTGACTGCCAAAACTGCGGGAAGCAGACGATGGGTAATGATGAAAAGATCAATGCGAGAGTACACTTTATATGGGGGTGAAAAAAAGGTGTAATCTCATTCGTCAGGGGTGAAACAACCACCAAGCGTCAGTTAGTCGGGATTTGTGGAGAGTTTGTAAGACACGTTTGTGACAGCTAGGGATAACAGAGGATCCCATTGCAGAAGTATCCACCCTGAGGTCTAAGGAAAGATTAAAGTCCCTGCCTAAGAGGAGCATGCTCTCCGCAAACAACATAAGGGTATCAATTGAAGAACAAAGGAACTGATCTTGATGGCAATTTGGTGCAAAGAGAGTGGCCAGGGTCAGTTTAATACCACCAGTCATGCCCTTAAGGAACAAAAATTGGCCCTCCTCATCTGCTCTTGAATCAAGAAGTATTCAAGGAACCCATTTAGAGACCAAGATGGAAACACCTCTTGATTTGGTTGCCCGATTAAAGGCATGGTAAGCAAAAGGGTAAAATCTGTTTCTGAGAATCGGGGCTTTTCCCTCTTTGAAATGGGTTTCCTGAATGAAAGCTACGTCAGCGTGTAAGCACTTCTGGTCTTAAAGAAGCATTCTGCGCTTTTCAGGCGCATTGAGCCCTTTAACATTCAGGAGAAGATCAGTTTGATTCCAAGGCATAGAAACTATCTCATGGAAAGAGTCCTCCAAAGAGTAAACCACAGTTGGCTGAGTCGGAACCTGAGGTCATGGTGTGGAGAGTTGTTAGGGAGGAACGGTTTCCAGATAGTAGAAGACCCCACCGATTAAATCAGAGTTCACCGAAAAAAATTGAGGTGCATAGTCCTCCAGTAGGGTGTCACAGAAGGTGTGCAGCACGGGGCTTCAGGCTTCATATACCAGGTTATGTAGACAGCATGTTTGCGGTATCTAGGATAAGTCCCCCAAGACTTCAAAGGTAACAGAAATAAATCAGGACTCACTTGTAGGGACTGGTTGCGAAGGGAGAGATCTGCGTCTAGGTCTGGCCAGTAATGTAGAATGAAGGCCAGCGTGCTGGGTACGAAATGGCAGTGACTGCAGCCAGTCCAGTATGGAGAAAGGTGGAATCTCTAGGTAGGCAAACGGATCTTGTAGAGCCGCAAGTCGGTGTAAGTTGAAAGATGAATTCCTTTTCCGGATGGTTAAGGAAAAGGGGAAGCCCCACCTATATGTATGGCCCAGGTGTTGTAGCTTGTCTAGAAAGAGTCACAGTAGGGCCCTGCGCTGCAGGGTTGCCTTAGAGAGATCCAGCAGTAATTTAATGGTCGTACCATCAAAGTCGACAATCCGCAGAATGGTCTCCGCATGTGTATATCGGTGTAGGTGGCAGATGATGTCCCGCGGTCTATTTGGATCAGAGGACTTGGGGCCCAGTGCTCTATGGACTTGGTCTAATTCAAGCAGGACAGAGTCCAGTACACAATGGACTATGGCAATAACAATGTCTCGTAAATCTTCCGAACCAGTGGCTTCCGGGAGACCACGGAGCCGCAAGTTGTTACAGATGCTCCAATCCTCTAGATCTTCCAAATGTAGCTGCAGGGCCACCGCGTGTTCTGCTTGGCGTGCCTGTTCTTGTTCCACTATAGATATTCCACCATAGAAGACTCCCCCGTAGCAAGACAATCAGATAGCTGTTGCACATCAGTGCGAACAGCGTGCAGCTCCCTCTGATAGGATTAGGTTATGCGGAGGAACTAGGCCTCAATGTCGACCTTCATGGGAAGGGCCTGGAACAGCTTTATAATATCTACATCTTCCCAAAGGGAGGAGGACGCTACTGGTAGGGAGATGGAGTCTGGTGGATGAGATGCCAATGCTGCGGAGATGTCAGAGTATGAGTCCGAAGCACTTGACGGAGCTGCCGCCATTTCTGATGGGAGTGCAGCCTCTGCTGCGCTGCCATGAGGATTCGCCTTGCCTGTTCAGGAGCCAGAGGTCTGGGTGCCTGGGAAGAAATGCTTGATAGCAGACCGAGCTGAAGTTTTTCTGCACTTCGCAGAGCTCATGCCGAGACTGAAAGGCCGTTAGGTGAGTGTGTACTGCTGGAGAGAGACGGGAGCTCAAAGAAAGCATGTCTTCACGCCACCATGTCCAAGACATGCCCCGGGATTGGACATATTTTGTACGTCTTTGTTGCAGTGGGACTAGCTTGCCATAAAGCCCCTTTTTGTTTTTAAAAGCCCCAGACATTCCTAAAAGCACCTCTGCCTAATAAAAATAACATCAACCCTTCTTGTTTTCAATAAAGACCTTATTTAAATACAGTTTTGTTTAATATTATAATGTTTTTCTTTTTTTATCAGGACAAATAGATTGTCATGAGGGACGAGTAGATTAGGACCCTGATTTAGTCCCTTGGACAAGTAGTTTCTTTACAAATTTCCACACTTCTTGGGATTGTGATATGCAAGGGGACACTGATGTAAGAACAGGATTATGATATAAGAGGAGATGGGGACTGTGATGTGAAGGGCCTAAGTCATTAAAAAAACCTGCGATTTTTGACATCAGCTGCACAAGCATGCGATTCAGACCTCTGCTGGAAGAAAAGTTTACTGATCAGACCTCCATGAATTTTAATTTAATACTCCTGCTGTAATGCATAGACCAGATGCAGGGAAGTTGCCTAACGCCAACAGTGTGTTGGACATGCAGGCAGGTGTGATACCTTATTGGAGTGCCACGACTGACATTTTAACAGAGTTGTATCCACTGCGGTGGTTTGCACCCCAACCTGCTGTGCTGTAACAAAAAATTTACTACATGCAGAACTCCATTAGAAACAACTAATTTAGCCCTGTCTTTGCTTGGGGCTGTGCTCCTAATAATCACCACAGCTGGTGTGAATGGATAAATAAATACAAGACCAAAAATACAATATATTGCAACTTACAGTCTCTACATACGTTGGCGGCTATAGTTTCCTTTTTTTCTCAAGCTAAGAACATTTTCAGGAAAATACAGAAAAAACTGTTGATCTTTCCAAAAATGCATGTCCTTGTCACTTTCGGTCAGCTGCACCAAAGAATATCTTTCCTCTTAGCTATTGTGTGCAAGCTACTAATTGTACAGATATGCATGTAGCTAATGGAGAGAATAGATATGCATGTAGTTTATATCAGAACAGCCTAGGATGACAACCATGGCTCCTTCCTTTCAAACAGTGGAGGATAATGTAGCCACATAGGGGCATGAAGTATGTTATTTTCAGGATTACCAGGTGAAAATAAAGCTAAAGAAGTGTGAAAAAAGAAAACGAATGTAGCCACCACACACAAAGAACTGGTAAGATGCAGTAAATTACATTTTTGGTTTTGGGCTTAAAATTTACTGTCTGATCACACTGAATCCAACTTTGAAATCACAAGTTAATGCACGCCAGTGCGACTTCAGGTGTGACTTGGCTGACATCTGTGCGACTTCATGCACAGATGTCTATGCCAGTTGCACCTGAAATCCCCAAAAATTGTGGTGCCGAACTGATTTGAAAAAAGGTTCCTGCACTAAGCCAGAGTTGAAAGGTTCCATTGCCGACAATAGGGTGCGACTTGTTATGCGATTTTAAACTGTCAAATCACATGATCATTTGCATCAGTGTGAACCAGGGCTAACTCTGGTAAGTATAAAGTTTGTTTATACTTCCCAAATTAATTTCTCTTGCTTTTAAATAAAACAAATACAGACACCCTGTGAGTTCTTACATAGTTTTGGTTTAGTGAAGCCCACACTGTCTTCTGGGAGCTTTAACCATGTTACACTAAGAAGCATTGGAGGGCTGCTTGTAAAACCCACATTAAATGACTGGATTTTGTGATGGTGTGGAGGTGACCTAAGACACACTGCATTGAGTGCATGAGTAATAAGTTCCCTCTTGTGTCTGTTTTATTTGACAGTGTTTGGCTCGCGATGCATGGAGAAGCCTGACCCAATATGTCAGCCACGGCTGTCGATGGCTCTGATGTGTCACTCGGTAAGTGCTAATCCCGAATGGGCTTTATTTACAGTAGGTATAGAAAAGAATTACCCCTCCTTTAAAACCACATTGTGTTGCTTTGCAGCCTGAAATTAAGACACAGTTTTTGTTTTATCCAGCTGCATTTACTCAGTGCAACTTATAACATCCATGTAAATGATATAACACCAACATGTCAGAAAAAAATTAAAAAAAAACAGAATCAATTTTAAAAACAGAATCTCTGAGTTCAAAAAAGGTATTTTGTTGAACCACCTTTTATTTTAAAGCCTTTAGTCTGTTGGGATATGTCTCTACTAACTTTGCACATTTAGACTTTGCAATATTTTCCCACTCTTCCATGCAGAACTGCTCAAGTTCACGTAAATGTGATGGTGACGGTTGTGGACTGCAGTCTTCAAGTCATTCCACAGATTTTCAATGGGTTTCAAGTCTGGGCTCTAACTTGGCCATGCAAGAATATTCACCTTTTTCTTCTTCAACCACTTTGTGGTAATTTTGTGTTCTGGGTCATTGTCATGTTGGGAGGTGACCCTTTTTCCCATTGACAACTTTCTGACAGAGGGCAGCAGACTTTCCTCAAGAATTTGACGGTATTTTGTCCCATCCATTTTTCCTTCAATCCTGACTGCTCCAGTCCCTGCTGCAGAGAAACACCCTCATAACAGGATATTACCACCTCCATGCTTTGCTGTAGGTTTATTTGGATAGTGAGCTGTATTGGATTTCCACCAGACATATCCTTTAGCAACTGATCACAGCGCCGCAATTTAAAATCATGTGATTTTTGTGCAGTTTTAGCGCAATTTCAGGTGCAGTTCCTGAAGACTTTATTGCAACTTGTGAAGATTTTCAATGATTTATTGCGATTTGCTTTGTAATTTACATTATATTCTATGTTTGTGAAATCGCAATAACTATAGAAAAAGTAATGCAAGAACTACTTTAGAAATCCTGCTGCAGCAAATCACATGTTAAGACACTGACATTCACATTAATTGGATGCGATTTCAATTCGCAAATCGCACCTGAAATTGCATTGGTATGACCAGCCGTGTAGTGTTGAGGCCACATAATGAAGTTTTAGTCTCATCTGACCAGAACACCTTTTTCTATGTGGCCTTAGGACCTTCAAGGTGCATTTTGGCAAAACTCAGTTGTGACTGCATGTGGCCTTTCTTGAGAAGTGTTTTTTTTTCTTGCAACCCTCCCATACAAGCCACATTTGTGGAGAATTTGTGATATTGTTGTCATATGCACAAAATTACCACTCTGTCATAAATTCCTGCAACTGCTTCAGAGTTGTAGGCATCTTGGTATTCATCCAATTTTTTTTTTGTATCAATCTTCTGACTTGTGCCTGTCCACAATTTTTCCCAGAAATCTTTTGACAGTGCTCCAGGAAAGCTCTTTCCATGCTGAGCTAATCAAAATGACCACAGCTGATCACACTTGAGAATCAAATGGCTTTGTGTGCCATTAGGGTGATTAACTACACCTGATTTCAGTTTACAAGTCGTTTTTAAGAGGGTGTGATCCTTCTTCCAACTTGGTGATTCTATTTTTTTTTTTATTATTTATTTCTGACGTGGTATTATATCTTTCACTGAAATGTTATAAGTTGCACTGAGTAAATACAGCTGAATAAAATGAAAACTGTGTCTGTCTTCATTTCATGCTGCAAAGCAACAAAATGTGATTATTTTAAAGGGGTGATTCTTTTTTTTTTTTTACCCACTGTATGTCATCTAGCTCTGTGGATTCATTGCAGTCTTCTGTTTAGTAATGTTTTATGGCATATTACCCATATTGGTTTAATATTCTTCCTCCTTTGTAGACGGAGAATCTTTCCAAACTGTGGATACATTTCTATTGGATTCTGCTAGCACCACTAAGTTAACTATAAAGGAAGAGAGATCAGAGTCTCAAGGAAGTTCCTCACTACCTACTGAAAATGAAATCCTCGGAACAGATGGAGAGGGTTCCTCCCACAGCGCAGGTGATTTTTTTTTGTTATTCTTTTCTGTATTCTGCTTTTAGGCATAAAAGTTACAGTGCCCTGAGGTTAGGCTTAAAAAATCTAAATTAGATATTACATACAAAACCACTCTCTGCATAGTGAACTTAAAAAATGTATTTAGAACTATCCCATGCCAAATGGTTTGTTTGATTTGAAAAAGTGACAAAGGGACAAGAACCCCCTGCCAGGTGCTTGCTGACTCAGTTGTTTACAGTAAACAGGGTTACCCTCCTGTGGATACCCTACAAGTTACCCAAAAAAAAAAAATATCACAAATGGACAGAGCTTAGTTTAGTTTTGCCCTCGGATGTATCTGAATGTCATTTGTCAATGTCATTTTATTATCAAAGGGTTTTCTGTCCATCTGCGTCTTGGTTTCCATGACGGCGGTGCCAGTATATATGAATGCGGGTGTACTATGTGAATCCAGTCTTGCTGACAAAGTCCCGCCCAGGACGTACAGTGAAGGAAATAAGTATTTGATCCCCTGCTGATTTTGAATGTTGTCCCACTCACAAAGAAATGATCCCCTATCATTCAGCAGGATTGCTGGCTACCAGGTGTCTTTCATACAGGCAACAAGCTGAGATTTAAAGCAGTCTCTTAAAGGGAGTGCTGCTAATCTCATTTTGTTACCTGTATAAAAGACACCTGTCCATAGGAGCAATCAAACAATCAGATTCCAAACTCTCCACCATGGCAAAGACCCAAGAGCTGTCCAAGGATGTCAGGGACAAGATTGTAGACCTACACAAGGCTGGACTGGGCTACTAAACTATCGCCAAGCTTGGTGAGAAGGTGACAACAGTTGGTGCAATCATTCACAAATGGAAGAAACACAAAACAACTGTAAGTCTCGCTAGGTCTGGTGCACCATGCAAGATCTCACCTCATGGAGTGTCAATGATCATGAGAACAGTGAGGAATCATCTCAGAACTACACGTGAGGATCTTGCCAATGATCTCCAGGCAGCTGGGACCACAGTTACCAAGAAAACAATTGGTAAAACACTATGCGGACAAGGATTGAAATCCTGCAGTGCCCGCAAGGTCCCTCTACTCAAGAAAGCACATGTCCAGGCCCGTCTGAAGTTTGCCACTGAACATCTGAATGCTGCAGAGGAGGACTGGTTGAAAGTGGTGTGGTCAGATGAGACCAAAATGGAGCTCTTTGGCATCAACTCAACTCACCGTATTTGGAGGAGGAGGAATGCTGCCTATGACCCCAAGAACACCATCCCAACTGTCAAACATGGTGGTGGAAACATTCTGCTTTGAGGGTGTTTTTCTGCTAAGGGGACAGGACAACTGCACGCATCAAAGGGACGATGGACAGGGCAATGTACCGTCAAATCTTTGGTGAGAACCTTCTTCCCTCAGCCAGGGCATTGAAAATGGGTCGTGGATGGGTGTTCCAGCATGACAATGACCCAAAACACAGGGCCAAGGCAACAAAGGAGTGGCTCAAGAAGCACATTAAGGTCCTGGAGTGGCCTAGCCAGTCTCCAGACCTTAATCCGATTAAAAATCTGTGGAGGGAGCTGAAAGTTCGAGTTGCCAAACGTCAGCCACCAAACCTTAATGACTTGGAGAGGATCTGCTAAGAGGAGTGGGCCAAAATTCCTCCTGAGATGTGTGAAAACCTGGTGGCCAACTACAGGAAACATCTGACCTCTGTGATTGCCAACAAGGGATTTGCCACCAAGTACTAAGTCATGGTTTCTGAAGGGAATCAAATACTTATTTCCCTCATGAACATGCAAATCCGTGCATCATTTGTTAGACATGCATTTCTTTTGAATTTTTTATTGCTATTCTGTCTCTCGGTGTTACAATACACCTACCATTCGATTTTTAGACTGATCATTTCTTTGTGAGTGGGCAAACATCCAAAATCAGCAGGGGATCAAATACTTATTTCCTTCACTGTATCGCATACGGGAGGAGTCACGTTCGTTGACGTCACCTGCGGCTATCTTGGTGTTTTATACGCGGTTTGTTCATTGTTTCTTGAACACTGTTCTTTGCACTTGGTAATAAGTGCCAGATTTGTAAGTACAATTTTGTTCCTTCTCTGAGTAAAGAAATAAATTGTAGCAGAGAGCACTTTTTGTCCCTGTCTTGAATATACGGCACACTTTGATACATCTGAGGAGTGATCTGCCTGGACCAGTGGTGCTACCATTTCAAGTAAATACCCTTAATGGGGAAAAGCAAATATGACCAGCCTGGTAGTTCAGGGGTCATATCCATTAGGTGAGCAGTCATGATTGTATTTGGTGACGGGATCAAGCACCTTTGACACCAGAATGAATATTTTGTCACTTGTTTGACACATCGTGAATTGTCCATCTGTGCTGGTGAGCTGGTTTTATATATGGGCTTTGCTTTATGCACTTTGTTGTTAGAATATTTTTGCATGCAATATCAGAACTTTATTATATTCTGCTGCCCTGTGTATGTATTTCTGTGAATGGAAAGAGTAACAGACCAAATTATAAAAATTCAAATTAATTTATTGGTTTAAACTAAAAAAAAAAAAAAGATTCAGCATGTTTGGGGGCCAGAAATATATTCCCCTTTTATTAAAGCTTCAGTTAAATATGAAGCTTGAGTGGACTCAAAATAGGACTTTCCTGAGTAAATCTATATAGAGAAGCACATGTTGGATTAGGACAGTGACTATCCAGCGTCTTCTGTGTAAACAATCAAAATTATATAGATTTTCTAGTTTTATTGCTGTCTTTGTCTCTGGTGGGGAGTTTCATCTGTAGTGCAGCATTTGTAAAGCTACAGTTAAGTAAAAATGGATACCAACCTTTTAGCCCCACTTCACACTATAACCCGCATGTGAATTTCACAGGAACCGCACCGCATTCCTGTGCAATTCAGTGCAGTACGATTTGAGCCGGAATGGGCTCAAATTGCACCGCATGGCACCAAAGAAGTGCAGGCACCTTTCTGAAGCCGCTCCACAATCTCATCTCATGGTAGTTTTGTAACATGCAGTATAGTGCGATGTGGTTGTGGTCTTGTTAACCTCATATTGAAACCTGCAGCGGATCACAAGCAGTGTGATTGCAATGTGATGCAGGCAACGCATAGGGATTGCTGCTTTTCCAGTACCACATATGTGTGAACCTAGGAGGGTGCACAGCCATTCCTGCTCAGGGTTTCACTTTTCATTCTGACATCATTGGCTCACAAACAATGACCCGGTGCTTGTTTCAGGAAAGCAGAAGTCCTGCAGTTCTGCATAATTGTTCCTACTCCCTACTGCGTTTACACTGTAAAACAAGATACATGTATAGACATCAGTACTCCAATGGAGGCTGAGCTGATATCTTAACTGTACACTCCAGAAAATGTAGGTTAAGCCTTGTAAGGCATACAGGACATGCAGCCAACCTGTTCTCGGCTTCGGTTTTTCTAGAAAGCATAACTGTAGTGTACCTGGCCCATCTCACTCCCTTTTGGAGGTAATCTGGTGACCAGGGAACCCTTTTTAGCTTTTCTATTGGTAATGCTGGAGAGATATTCCCAGACACACACTGCAGGCTCCTTTCTGTCTTATATATAAAGCCTTATGTGTTGAAGTGTCAGGATTACTGCCAGTGGATTTGCTTGATCACAACCAACATATTGGATTCAAAATGCTTGAGCCTGATCAGTGATGTAGGAGGTTGTATGGCAGAGATTTAGGAAGAAGATCCAAATTCCAAAATGAGAGGAGTTCTGTTGGTTTTCTGGTTGTAGTGGATTATACAAAACCATTTCAGTCCCAGAAAAAACTGTGTTTAAACCACACCCTACTCTTAAAAACCTATATTTTTTTGACTATAGATAAAACTTAAAAAGAACATTTCAGTCATATACTGTACATGTTTGCAGGGTATGTGAGTACACTACCTACATACCCAATGCTATTGCTTGTCATCCAGGCAATGCACAAAGATACAAGATTAACCCACTGTGTAAAATTCTGTGGCTGCCAGCAGCCTAATGTTCTCAAAATACCTTACCCTGAACCTGTCATTCAAGCCACATTTTTCTGCCCCCCCCCCCCCCCCACCACCACTAGTGTTTCTTTGAACTGAATTAGAATAGGATGGCCTTTGTCTGATTGCATCAGGCTTTCTAGAACTCTTTTTTTAAGCTGAAAGTTATAGCTCTGAGACCTGTTCACTAGCTAGCAAAAAGCCCTTCAAATCAATCTGATTGGAACTTACACAAGGCACTCTCCAAGTTCCGACTTGATAGGACTGAGGCGCTGTGATTGGCCATATCGAGAACCAATGCATACCTTTCATGCTTGAACACTATGCACTGTTCTGCCAAAAGGATGGTGGGTTTAAAGGGGTTGAACATGTGGGGGGCTCTTAAGAGTAGTGATTTGAGTATAAAGGGGGTGTGGGGGGCATTTAAGTGAAAATACAGTGTTTTGCTCTGTATGAGCAAATTTCAAGTTCACTTAAAGCATAGCTCCAGTGTTTTATGAATGGCATTACAAATTCGAGTTAACTTGCTGCCTGGAGTTGCTGTTTGATAATGTGTTATGCTCTAACCTTGTGATTTAAAACCTAACTCCAATCTAGAAACCTTTTTTTTTTTTTTTTTTTTGGCTAAAGAGGAAGAACTAAAATGTCTGTCAGATTTATCTTTTTGTGTATTAGTTTCAGGATTTATATGCTTTACAATAACATCATGACTTTATTGGCTCCAAATTTAAAAGCAGCATGAGTGTCAGCACAAATAGAAATGTAGTAATTTTCCTTTCAAATTATTGCAACTAAAACCTAAGAGGGAGGAGATATATGCAACAGACTTCTTTCTAAGGAGGCATTTTGGATTTTCTGCATTCATATATTTACAGCATTAAACAAAAATACAAATGGTTCACACAGTATATAGTTACATAATTAGGTTGAAAAAAAAGACATAAGTTGGTCTAGTTCATACAGTAGAAAAAAAGCAAATAA